AAATGTTGATAGTTGCACACACCAACCCCAGTCTGCTTCCTCAGGTTAGGCAAGAACAGAATGGAATAACAGCCACAAAAGTTGCTTTGAGTTTATATTTATTGTATATTTATTCTTATCTCAATGTGAACTTAGTGAAAGTATGAAGCTTTATAAAACATTTGCTGGATTTCTTGCACCTATAGGTGACTGTAGAATTTGCAGATGATGTCCGAGTATCTTTCATCTGCACCGAAGTGGATTGCAAAGTGGTGCATGAGTTTATCGGGGGCTACATTTTTCTGTCAACACGTGCAAAAGATCAGAACGAAAGCTTAGATGAAGAGATGTTCTACAAGCTGACCAGCGGCTGGGTGTGAATTGGATGAGACTGCCTGTTCTACTGACATAAACTAAATGGTGATATTAATATTTAACTCAAAAGCTGTTCTTGGAAATATGCTGCTTAATCAAATTAAGCTTGAAGTGTATCTTTTCTTTTTTAATATGGAAACTTGCATTAGCAGATAATTTTTTACCCGCGCTAAATAGCGCTTCCGTTAATCTGCTACGCAAAACCAAAACACAGCTCATGCCATGCCTAAGTTTGTGCCTCTTTCCCCTCTCTCAGCAAAATGAGGGGCTGATCGGGTCAATTTCTGACAAATGTAAGCTAACCAAATCATTTTTAAAACAAAATTAAAACTCTAAAGCCATTTAACTATTTAGATACCAGGGCCTAATCTATATGAAGTGTATTTATCATGTTTAATGCATGTTTTATGAGGTTTTATATATATTGTAAAATTGACATTATGTGTTCTTCCTTCCTATGTTTTAAGGCAGAATTTTTGGAGTGCAATTCAGGAAGGGTCTTTCTCTTTCTTCCTTCCTTCCTTCCTTCCTTCCTTCCTTCCTTCCTTCCTTCCTTCCTTCCTTCCTTTCACTTTCTTTTCTTTCTTTCTTTCTTTCTTTCTTTTCTTTCTTTCTTTCTTTCTTCTTTCCCTATCTCTCTCTCTTTTTCTCTCCCTCTCCCTCTTCCTCCCCTTCTTCCCCATACATTTTAGTGGGGTTTGTGCCTGGGCTCTCCTGTGCATCATGGTGCTTGGTGGACTGTGTCCTTTATCCCGTATGTTTTTTCACACTACATTAGCCTTTCTCATGTTGCTGTTCCTCAGATGTTCTGTACCAGAATTCCAAGCATTATGATTTGGGTATTGGGAGTTGATGCCCAGGACATCTGGAAGCACCAACTTGAGTTCTTAAGACATAATTGGGTCTGTTACAGGAGCCTGAAGGTTTTTGTGAAAACTAGCCTGAGTGGCCTTGACAAATACTGGCAAATTTGGTTCCAAATGAATCTGTTTTCCCCTTTGATAATCATTTCTGTGCTCTTTCTTGTCCTCTGTATTTTTTAACACTATATTGTATTAAAAACACCTTTAGTATTCACCAGCATAGCCACTCTTTACCTAAGATGATATGCAAAAACTTTTCATAACGATATGAAGTAAAGGTCTATGAAGTATAAGATTTTTTTGTTTTGTTTTATGTAACTAATGTAAAAAGAAAAACACAAATTTTATAAATGTGTACAGGTTTTTCTTTTAAAGCTAGCCACACAAGCCAAAGTAGGAGGAATCGCAATAGTATCAACTATATTGGTCTTACAGTATATTTTTAATGTAAGTTAAGTTCCTGATTTTGTTACAGCTGTGCCACAAAGCCCTTAACAACAATTTACTTTGTTGCCTGAGTCTGGCGAAGGGTGTGTGTGTCTCACTCTAAGATTAACTGTTACTCCCCCCCAGGGATCCCCCAACCCACCCAACACCAAGAGATAAAATCAGTGTTGTCTTCAGTACTCCAAGACATACCGTATGTACAAATGCATTGTATTTTAAATAAAGGTTGGATCTTTTATTTAACATTTAGCCTTTGTTTCAGTTTTTTGTTGTGGTCAATAAAAATTCACCAACATATTGTTCATATGAATTCAGCTGGTATATGTGGAATGCTACAATTGAATGTGGCATTATTAAGATATTAACTCCTGCTTGGCATAGCATTCATACACTAAAGCAGGGAAGGGTAGGAATTTGAGGCTAAGATTGGAGGGTCACATGTTCTCTGTAGAACTAGGAGCCTCAGGAATTTCATAAGTAGTGGGAGGGTTAGACTGTGAGACACAGCCACACACATTCAGACTGGTAAACTGGGGAGCAAAGAGACATTAATCTTGCTCCACTGTGGAATTATTTAACCAGGTCATGATAATCAGGATTACCATTTGTCCATTATGAATATTCAGCAGCAGTCTGGATTCAGAAAAGAAATGCTTACTTTGATAAAAATCATTTGTGAGGAAGCCCATTCTTTAGTTTATTTAATATTAAATATATTCCATCACCACTTTCAAAAAGGAAAGTCACATAGACCTTGACAAAATGCAAACTTGTTCTCCTTCCCAAATAGATTCAAGACCCTTCTTTTCCTTGGATATAATTCTGGGAAAGGAAAAACATGTTCTGAAAACTGCAACTTCTTTCCAGTAGATCGGCATTTTATTGGGTTTTGCATTCCAGAAAAAATCCAGGAATAAATAAGTAAATATACACAGGGAGACACACACACTTCCGTTCATTTATTTCACAAAAAATAGCTTATGCTTCATTTCCTTATTAAAATCATAATCTTTTAGCCATAATAAGATTTGGTAGCTTTAGTCAGTCATAAATGGTCCAAAGTCAATGGTAATTATATTTGGGAGATAAGTTGACCTGTTCTGCAAACCAGACTATAAATGTTTAGGGCTAAACATTGTCTCTGCAGCCCTGATTTGCAGGAGTAATGAAATCAAAGAGCTATATTATAGAGATCAATTCTACTAAAGGATTTTTTTTTTCCTGTGTGACATGGTATGTAATTTACCAAACAAACAAGGTCTGTCTCTTATTAATCTGGAAGCCCTGAATAACAGTGTAGTATAACAATAACTGAAAAATTATATGAAAATTTGTCTTGGGGTTTTTTTGCATCATACTCCACTATAATCTTGCAAAAGATCTATCAGGAGAAATATATTACCAATTTCAGCCTAATTGGTTGTTTTTAAAATTACTAAATGCCAGAATTTATTTATGGGGAGGGAGTTGAAAACAGTAAGTTATATCTCCTCCATACAGAATTGGGTGAGTAATGGGACTACTGGAGGCTGCTGTCGGTGCTTTTTTTTTTTTTTTTACTCTTAGCATTGCTCAGATGATTGTAAATGACACAACACACAAAAATCAATTTCACGTTCAGTTTTTAAGTATGATTAAAAGAGTTCTAAAACAGTATTTCTCAGTCTCAGCAGTTTTAAGTTGTGTGATCTTCAACTCCCAGAATTGGAATTGGCTGGGGAATACTGTTAATGTTTAATGTTGCTGAGCTTGAGAAGCACTGTTCTAAAAGGATGTAACAAGGTAACCAGTAAGCGGGGGATTGACATTAAAAACAAAGGTTGCGTTCAGATGTTCTAGAATTCTCTGTGAAAGCACCATGTTTGAGGTAAAGTTTCCTGAAAGCATATCCACCCATTTTTCTTTTGAGGCTATTGCATAAAAATGGTACCCACCTCCAACAATTGTTTTCATGGGAATTCCTGTATATCAAAGGAAAACTAAATCAAGTCAACTAGTCCTATGAGGAACTGCATTTATATAAAGGGCCAGTTATGCTTTCTTGCTTTCTGTACAGCATGAAATCTGCTTCCTTTAAAAGCTGAAATTAGTTAGTAATAAATCATGATTAAGCCAACCATGAATATAGCCAGTATTTATCTGAATTCCAATCACAGAAGGCCATAAGCAGAAGGATGTAGAGCTGTATTCCCATCCTGCTTATTAACTTCCAGAAGCATCTACTTGACCACTGTGGGAAACAGGATGTGCAACCAAATAGGCATTTGATCTGGTTAAACAAAACTTTCCTTCTGTTCTTCTAATCCCCAGAATTAGTACCAAAGTCAAGGATGTCCAGCAGCTTTCTAAATGTGTCCCTTGTTCCCTGTGGGTGGACAGACTTAGGTTAAGAGTAAGGGAGCTGTGGAGCACACCTTGAATGTTTGGTAGAATAAACAAATCTTAAGTTTTCTAAAAGCAAATATATGTGTTTTTGGACTGGGAGATGAGGTAATCCTTTTCATGCATTCTTTACTGTCCGCTGGAACCAAGATTATTGTTTCTTAAAGGCCTTGTCCTCCTTCCCATGGCCTTTGGCTGACCTGTTTTCCTTCTTGTATCTAATTCCCAGCATTGACTTCAGCTGTTTCAACCGCCTTCCTTTCACTGTGCTGGTGTATTACCTTGATCTTTGTATAGGCCATCAAATCAGCAGTTTCCAGTGAAATGATTAGCTGAGTAATTAAGCCAGGGGTGTCAAACTGCCAGCCCACAGGCCAGATACGTCAAGCGCAGGGGTAGGCAACCTTGGCCCCTTCATGACTTGTGGACTTCAACTCCCAGAATTCCTGAGCCAGCATGAGGGAAACTTTGGCCTCTTCATGACTTGCAGACTTCAACTCCCAGAATTCCTCAGCCAGCATGGCTCAGCTTGGAAACCTCTCCCTTTCCCCTCAGCATGGCTGGCTCAGGACTTGTGGGAGTTGAAGTCCATGAGTCATAAAAGAGCCAAGGTTGCCTACCCCTGGTCAAGTGGAAGCTGTGCCCACCCCAGTTCCAGCAAGGGGAAAAAAGTCATGGTACGTCATGACACATCACGTGACATGGCAAGTTTGACACTCCTGAATTAAACAATGCTGCTAACCAAAACAGGATAGTTCCTCACTGTGATCACTACATAAGAAACTGCAGGCAGAGGTTGAAGAGACAACAACTGTGATAGGATCAAATATACATAGAGCCAGATGTTAAGGACATACAGATTCACATAATACACCAGGCCAAAATGTGGTTAACTACTATTTTGGCTCAGGATACATGCAAACCAAGGAAATTTCATTATTCTCACCATAAACCATGGTTCAGATAAACAATAACAGAATTGGATGTCTCTATACTGATTATCAGGTGAAAAATTCTTTGTCTGCCTTGTTAGTAAAAGTGGCTGATTTTGCCCCATGCAATGAACATTAATTAGCCAAATTCATTTAGCCTAGTATGTATTAACCCAGCTGATGGAGTTAATTTGTGGCTCAGTATGTCATTTGAATCCAGAAAATAGTTGAGTAAAATAAATTATAGTTGTTAAACATGAGTAAATGTGGTGTGTAACCTGGGATCCTTAGTTTATAAAGTGTTCATATCAGAACTGAAGAAGCTTCTTGAATGAGAAGCGGAACATCTTCAAGCAAAAACAAGACAGTCCAGTTGCCTTTTGGAAAAAAAAACACTTTTGGGGCAACCATGACCTGAATGACTGAGAATCTCCATAGGCCTCTATCTGCAATTCAGGTTTGTACTGATTCAATTTAACCACTGCTTTTCCATCAGGAAAATAAAAGGTGTATGGGTAACCTAATCCATGAACATTACAGGTGCAGTGGGGTGGATCTACTGATGCTCCAGACTTCCTGACCACTCATCATTTGAGAAATGCTTTTATGAAAAATAATGCACAAAATGTTTCTGGCTTTTGTGTATGGGACTGGTGACTCCAGAACAGAGCCTCCTGTAGCTCTAAAGGTGTAAGTAGTCAGATGAAGCCATAAAAAAGCATCCAAAATGTCAAGTAATTGGAATGGGAGAACATTTTTTTTCTCCTTCTCTTAAAAGTAGAATCTGACATCAACTGCTGAGAATAAATAGAGATATAGAACAAATAAATTTTGGTATCTGCAAACACAGATGGTAATTACGGCTTCTAATATACAGATGGATTCTACTTGCTTAAGGAGGAGAATATCAATGGCTACTACAGTAGTTCTGCTACAATCTGAGACAGCATATGTATCAATGACGATTACTAGGGAGGGATTATGAGAAGGAACTTTACATTTTGGGTCCATAGAAATGGAAAGGGACCATAAGGAACATCTGGTCCAATCTTCTGCAATGTGTAGAAAAACCAATTTAGCCATCCATGAGAGGTGGCTGTCATGCCTCTTCTTAAATATCTTACTGTTAGAAAACAGTACAACTACCTAGATTCCACTTAAATACAAATCCTTCAGTTGCAATTTAAATCTGTTGTAATGGGCAGTTGATTGGATATTGCTGAAACAGAATGCTACACTAGCCAGATCTTAGCCCTGACCCTCCACAACCCTTCTATTGGCTTTATCAGTTCAACATTACAATTTTACAGTGTCTGTGATAGATGGGATTCCTGGGAAGCATACTGCTTCTACCACCTGCAATGGCCATTGTCAGACCCAGCGTAAAACATCTTGAATAAGCGGGCTGCGACGCTGCTGAGAGGCCTCGGCGACGCTGCAAGTCAGATGGGCGGCGCTAGAGATACCGACGCTCAGCTGATGACGTCCTGCCTGCGACGCGCGTCTAGGGACTGATTTGGGTTACCGCGAATCAGATGGATGGTGTTAATTCCAATGGGCTGCCGACGATCAGCTAATGACGCTCTGCCTGCGACGCGCGTCTGAATGGACCTGAGTTGAATTAATCTGCTGTTTTCAGTTAACTGGGATACTGGGTCTGACAAACATGAGGGTGTGGCGAGGGTGGAGCGGTGATTGGTAATTGAGGTGTGGTGGCGGGGCTTATGTAATACGCTGGAATGGGAGGTTTCTCAGGGCTGACTTTCTTTTCAACTTAGCAACATAATAAATCCTGAAACTTTGTTGAATCCTGCATCGTTCCTAATTCTTGGGTTCCGTGCCTATAGTCAGGACGAGCTTACATTAAGTCAGCCAGATTTGTGGTGCTCTCTCATGGCTCCGGGATTTTGAAGAGAAAAAGTAAAGACAGTTTATCTACCACGACTAAGCCTGATTCTTCGGAGGTTTCAGATACGAGTGAGGAAGATCTGATCCTTGCAGAGTACGAGAGTGACGAGGAGAAGAAACTAGAAAATAGGTTAACAGGAGTGGATAGTGATGATGATGATGATGACCTACAAGAAGAGCATGTTACAAAGATTTATTACTGCAGCCGGACACATTCCCAACTGGCTCAATTTATCCATGAAGTTCAGAAGAGCCCTTTTAGTAAGGAGACTCGTCTGCTGTCCTTGGGCTCTAGGCAGAATTTATGTGTGAATGAGGAAGTACGATGCCTGGGATCTGTCCAGCTCATCAATGATCGTTGTATGGAGATGCAGAAGACTAAACATGAAAAGAATACAGGAGCAGAGACGGAGGGCAAGAAGAGATGCGTGAGCCGAACGGTGTGTCCTTTTAACTCTTACAAGCCCAAATACTGGGGAAGCGAGGTCTTTTCAGGCATTGCTTGATACCGGATGCACCCGGTGTTTAATTAATAGGGGGGTAGCACAACAGATGGGGATTAGGGTGACTCGACTAAAATCCCCAATTCGATTCGAGCAGGTGGATGGTTCACTGCTAGGGGGGGCTCCAACCACGTTGGTGACCGAATCAGTCAGGATGGATGTAGGTGGTCATTGGGAGGTTATCAGATTCATCGTGGTCCCTTCCATGACCGAACCTCTCATTCTTGGATTGGCCTGGCTGGATAAATGGACACCGATCATCTGGTGGGAGGATGGGTCTCGACGATTGCGGTTGCCCGTGGGTCCTCAGCCACTACCCACACCTGATCATAATGGAGATAAAGGGCTGGGTGCTGTAGACCCAATACCGGAAGGGGACGGACCCGGATACCCGTCAGTCTACAACGACCTGGCAGCAGTATTTAGTGAACATGATTGCGACACTCTGCCACCCCATAGGGCAACAGATTGTGCCATCGAACTTATTCCTGGGGCACAGTTGCCTAAGCCCAGAATGTACCCCATGACATTCGCTGAGCTAAAGGAAATGAGGGAGTATATCGATAACAACCTGGCTAGGGGCTTTATAGAGCCGGCGCGCTCTAAAATAGCAGCACCCGTAATATTTCATGAAAAAAAGGACGGAGGACTACGGTTATGTGTAGATTTCAGAGGACTGAACGCGGTATGCGTAGAACCCATTTATCCGCTACCTCTCATGAAGGACCTCCTTGCCCATTTGGCCACTGGCAAGATTTTCACAAAATTAGATCTTCGGGAGGCATATTATAGAATACGGATAAAGGAAGGGGATGAGTGGAAGACCACTTTTAACTGTCCCTTAGGGAGTTATCAGTTCAAGGTGATGCCTTTCGGTCTACAGGGAGCCCCGGCTGTATTCATGCAGTTAATAAACGAGGTGTTGCATGACCATCTTTATAGGGGTGTACTTGTATACTTAGATGATATACTTATATACTCGAGTACACTGGAAGACCACATACAATTAGTTCGAACGGTGTTGCAAAAATTACTAGATTCCAAACTATACTGTAAAGTATCAAAATGCGAATTCCACAAAGACCGTATTGATTACTTAGGATTCCGGGTTTCTGCGATGGGAATAGAGATGGATCCCAATAAGATACGCAGTGTATTGGAATGGCAAGCCCCAAGGACTCGTTGCCAATTACAGCGGTTTCTGGGGTTCGCTAATTTTTATCGTCAGTTCATACCGTCCTTCGCTGATGTGGCCCTACCATTGACTCAGTTGTTACGTACCAAACACAATACTGGTAAACCCCGGCCAAAACAACCGCTGGAATGGACCATGGCATGCCAACAGGCCTTTGAAAAGTTAAAAAGCCTGTTTGCACAGGAGCCGTTATTGGCACATCCTGACCCGGACAAGCCCTTTATTGTACAGGCGGACGCTAGCGATGTAGCCGTTGGCGCTATTCTATTGCAGCGTAATGAGAAAAATATGCTACAACCGTGTGCCTACACGTCCAAAACATTCACTGAAACAGAATGACGTTGGGCAGTGTGGGAAAAAGAAGCATTTGCAGTGAAATGGGCATTGTCCACTTGGCGCCATCTGTTGGAAGGGGCTCAACATCCCTTCGAAGTCTGGACAGATCATCAAAATCTAACAGTGCTTCAAACACCAAGAAAACTAGCGCCTAAACACGTCCGATGGGCACAGTATTTTCAACGTTTCAAGTTCTGTTTAAAGGTTGTTCCGGGTGGAAAGAACTTTCTAGCGGACGCACTCTCCCGAATGCCCCAATATGACAGCAAACGGGAACAGGTGATCCAGGCTGTCATACCTCAGTGTAATGGGGAGCCCGAAAAGGCAGAAGTTTGTACAAAGCTAGCAACTTTTGAAGAAGAAATAAAAACAGCTTTAGTAACTGATCCTTGGCTATCAGCAAATCCAGGGATATTGACCTATCGTAATGGTTTGGCCTGGTATGGCGATAAATTGTATATACCTCAGGAAGTGCGCAGCCGGGTATACCATCAATGTCATGACTCCAAAGTAGCAGGTCACTTTGGTTTTGTAAAACATTACATCTAGCAAGAAGGCGATTTTGGTGGCCAAGCTTAAGGAAAGACATTGAAACATACGTAAAAGAATGTAGGGTTTGTGCACAGGCAAAGGTAATACCTAAGAAGCCAATGGGATTGTTACAGTCAGTGTCTGATCCGATACGGCCATGGCAAGATATTGGCATGGACTTCCTGGTGGAGTTACCAAATGTAAAAGGTTACACAGTCATATGGACGGTAATAGACTTATTTTCGAAGCAGGCTCATTTTATACCCTGCAAAGGGCTGCCGTCTGCAGCGCAACTAGCGAAGCTATTTGTACAGCACATTTATCGTCTACATGGAGCTCCCCGACGGATTATATCAGACCGCGGGGTTCAATTCACAGCTCGATTCTGGCGTCAATTTCTGGCCTGTATTGGAACTACTCAAGGATTGAGCTCTGCATACCATCCATGTACCAACGGAGCAGCGGAACGAGCCAATGCGGCCGTGTCACGATACCTACGTTGCTATGTCTCTCACCAACAGACGGATTGGATGGATTATATACCCTTTGCCGAGCTAGCTTACAACAATGCAGTGCATAAGAGTACCGGGTTAACCCCCTTTCAAGTGGTATATGGCTACGATCTAAATCCCTTACCGGGTTGTGAACCACTAACGTCCCTGGCCACGAAGCCAGGGGACTGGATGTCCCGTGCTAACCAAGTGTGGCATACAGTAAAGAAAGCGCTGATACAGGCGGGGCAAATAGCCAAGGAACAGGCAGATAAAGGTCGTAGAATGTCAACCCAATTCCGAGTAGGTGACCAGGTATATCTCTCGACCAAATATCTTAAGTTACAGGTACCCTGCAAGAAGTTGGCGGCGAAATACGTGGGTCCATTTCGCATAATACGCATCATTAATCCTGTTACGGTACAACTCCAACTGCCGGTCTTCCTTGGTAGAATACATCCGGTTTTCCACGTGAGTCTGTTGAAGCCGATAGAAAGGAACACTCATACAGATCCTCCTGGACCTATAGCTCCGGGACAGTATGAGATACAGGATATCATGGATTCACGATGGCGGGGGGGCAAAGTATACTACCTGATATTATGGAAAGGATATCCCCTATCCGATGCTTCATGGGTGCAGAGTGAAAAGATTTTCGCTCCGGAGCTGCTCCGAAGATACCATAAAATATGGCCAAATAAGCCGAAACCGAATGAGGGGGGGGTTAAATGATATATAGATACTGTTAACCAAACGATGCATTAACCTGTAACGTTCTATTCCAGGGGATCCCGTGGTGAGGGGGGGCCGAATGTCAGACCCAGCGTAAAACATCTTGAATAAGCGGGCTGCGACGCTGCTGAGAGGCCTCGGCGACAATGCAAGTCAGATGGGCGGCGCTAGAGATACCGATGCTCAGCTGATGACGTCCTGCCTGCGACGCGCGTCTAGGGACTGATTTGGGTTACCGCGAATCAGATGGATGGTGTTAATTCCAATGGGCTGCCGACGATCAGCTAATGACGCTCTGCCTGCGACGCGCGTCTGAAGGGACCTGAGTTGAATTAATCTGCTGTTTTCAGTTAACTGGGATGCTGGGTCTGACAAACATGAGGGTGTGGCGAGGGTGGAGCGGTGATTGGTAATTGAGGTGTGGTGGCGGGGCTTATTTAATACGCTGGAATGGGAGGTTTCTCAGGGCTGACTTTCTTTTCAACTTAGCAACATAATAAATCCTGAAACTTTGTTGAATTCTGCATCGTTCCTAATTCTTGGGTTCCGTGCCTATAGTCAGGACGAGCTTACAGCCATGTTTGAACAAGGTGAATACTGTCTTAGATAATATTGAGAATGGAGCTCTTGGTCGCAGTGGGGAGAGGTGCTGAAGCACAGATACTCATTTAATAGAATCAGAACTAAGCACAGAGCTGGCTAATAGGAGGGATGTGAAGGAGGCTAGTAGAAGAACATACTGCAACAACTTTGCTAGAATGAGAATTTCATTGCACACTCCGCCTGGATGCACTCTGAAGCAGGTCTTCTGACTGGGGCAGTGATGGCAAACTTTTTTGGCTTGGCATGTCAAAAGATTTTGGAAAATGCCTAACTTGAGTCTGCTGTTGTACAGTATGTGTGTCTCATACACACACCTTGAACAAAAGAGAAATTATTATCTTCCCCTCACTACCACCCTCATCTAAGCCACCCTGAACAGTGGCTCCCCAGAGCAGGCTCTGAGGCTCGTCCTGAAGTAGAGCCCCAGGCCTCGACTTCAGCCCCAGTGCTACCATTGCTACTGAAAAGGGCTGCTTCATGCCAATTCCCAAGGAGTAGGAGGCTGGGGAATATTGCAATTGCCCCTGTAGCTGACGCTCCCCAGGATCTGCCGTGTTCTGCTTATCTTCATGGGGTGTGCACTTTCTGCTGACAGAGCCCTGCAGCCTACCCAAGGCTGCTCCAGGTTGCACGAGGCCTTTGTTCTCAGAGCAACTTTGGAGAATGCTCTTCCATGGCTTCTGCAGCCTCTGAAAACTGCGCAAAAGCATGTTCCATTCTCATGCGATTTTCAAAGGCTCTGGGAGGGGCTGCATGAGAGCACAGGCCTCTCGCACAACTTTCAGAGGTTGCATGACAGCACACCCCATTCTTGCGCAACTTCTGAAAATCATGCGACAACAAAGTGTGCTTTTGAGAACAGTTGTCTGGTGTAAGAGACTGCACTGGAGTTTCATAAAGTGGCAGTTTGAAAACATTCTGATTTTAAATCATGCCACACAACATAAACACACATTAATGGTTGTCTTTCCAGCAGTGCCCTCACCATCAGTGTTAAGGAAATTTTCCAGACTGGGGTGGATCTACTGATACTGCAGGCTTCATCTTGCTGCTTGGTCACCCTTCTCTTTCCTACCAACTTTCACAGCTAGGTCTTCACATGATTTGCCCAAAAT